GTGTGTGTGTGTGTGTGCGTGTGTGTGTGTGTATGTGTGTGTGTGTGTGTGTGTGTGTGTGCACACGAATATCCAACCATTTCATTTGCACGAATGGCGTGGTTGTCAAAAATATTAATCATCGTCTACGCGTGCAAGAGCGTGTGCGCGCACGCGTGTAGGGGCGTATGCGCGCACGCGTGCAGGGGCGTATGCGCGCACGCGTGTAGAGGCGTATGCGCGCACGCGTGTAGGGGCGTATGCGCGCACGCGTGCAGGGGCGTATGCGCGCACGCGTGCAGGGGCGTATGCGCGCACGCGTGCAGGGGCGTGTGCGCGCACGCGTGCAGATATTCCGAAGCGCGTGTGCGCGCGGTCTGTTAGCACTAGCGTGTCTATTGGCACTATAGTGGTATACATACAACAATGGGCTACTATACAGTAATATACGCTCTTGATATATTTTATAATTATATTACCAAACCGTGTGCACTATGCCCCCAGGTAGATCATATTAATGATGATGATGACGAGGATGACGATGATGATGACGACGACGATGACGACGATGACGACGATCGCGAATCACCATGCGCGTATGCCCTGCGTGTGTAGTTGTAGATTCTGCAGCTGCTGGTGCGTCGTCTGCAGATTCTGCACGTTCATATACGGGGGCGTTTGCTGCATCGTCGGCATCGCTCCGTACGACGTCGGCGAGTAGACGTATGACGTCATCGCGTACGGCGACGCGTACGGCGCGCCCATGCCGGGACGCTCCAGACACGGCTTGCCGTCACGTACGAGTACGGGGACGGCGACGCGACGCGGCGGGTGCATGTTGACCGTCAGCTCTAGCGTCTTGTCCTGACGCTGACGCTTGCATTTGTAGCGTCGGTTCTGGAACCAGATCTTCACTTGCGTCGACGTCAGCTTCAGTGCGGCGGCGAGCTGCTCGCGTTCAGGCGCCGATAGGTAGCGCTGCTGCTTGAACCTTCTCTCCAACTCGAAGACTTGCTGCTGGGAGAAGAGCACCCGAGGCTTCCTTCGCGTCCTCTGCCGCTGCAGGCAGTCGGAGGAGAACCCGTCTTTCTCTTGATCTGCTTTCTCCGGCGCTGTGCTCGTAGCTTCGGCTGTACTGCTGGTGACTGCTCCTGTGAGGGCAAAAGTACCGATTATTGTTATTATATTAATTATTATTCTCATTATTATTATATTATATATATATTATTATTGTTATTATTATTATTATTATTATATATATATGTTATTATTGTTATTATGTTGCTGGCTGTAATACTGCGCGTACGTGTATGTTCGTATGCGCGTGTGGTTTTGCTATCAGAATGGACAAATTCCTGTCAAGCTATGTCTTTGCTTAAGCATTATTTTAAATGAACCAATGAGTTTTTTGCCCAACTATTACGCATTTTAGAGGGCATATACCCAGTGTTAGATAAAATACAATCATGTGATTCAACAGAAAATTAAAATCTGGAACAAAGATATTTCGTGATATTATTTATACAGCTTTTATGCGTAGTAAGTATAACTAATAGTGATGTGGCATGTTTATTAATTTATCAGAATAAAATCATTATGGTCGCAAAATGTATATCATGCGACAATAGCGATAATATGTATATTATATGATAAATATATATGTACTATAATATACTATATTTATATATAAATGTGTGTGTGTATGTGTGTGGTGTGAGTTGGTGTGTGTGTATGTGTGTGTGTGTGTGTGTGTGTGTGCTGTGTGTGTGTGGTGTGTGTGTATAGAATGTTGTGTAATGTGTGTCGTTGTCGTGTGTGTGGTGGGTGTGTGTGTGTGGAGTGTGTGTGTTGTCG